ACTCCCCCCCCCCCCCCAACCCAAGTTCCCTTCCAGACAGTAACATTCACAAGCATTCCAAAACAACAGGCTTCCATACTTACCAGAGGACAGAGCTGAAAGAAAAAGGATCCGATCCGGACAGACTGAAGGCAGTGCTAGTGGCTGGTCAATAGTGGGTGGCATCATTCCAGGAGAACCTAACAGCACAAAAAAGGAGAAGGAAAAAAAGCATATATATGAGGACTATAGCAGATAATTTCTTTGAGAAAGCACACTGCAAAAATATTTGCAAACTGCTTACTGGATTGAAGCTAAAGGTAATGTTTCAGGAATTACAGAAGGCAGGCGGTAGTTCTTAATGGTGGCAACAGTGGTGGCACTGTCATATTGGAGTTGGCATGATTGGAAGTCCACAGTCCAGGAAAATCCAATCTAACAGCACAAAGAATAAAGATGGAAGGGGGAGAGTGAAGAAGAAAAGCAAACATGATAGTGGCCACTATAATGTTTGCTTTTCTCCTTCACCCTCCTTGCCAAACAAACAGCTTAGTGCACACAAAATGCCTCAAATCCATCTAAATGCTACCAGTAGTAGTAGTATACATTCACAATCACATACATGTGGTCTGTGCCAGCACTGCAGTTACAGGCTTAGGCAGGCAAGTGGTGTGGTCTTTTTCTCTTAAACTGAACACAAAATACCCAAAATAATATCAGTGACAGAGTATTAGTAGCATACATACCGAGTCTGGCTTGTGTGGATAGAGTTGTCAGGCAAGCAGGCTGAGCGAGTGGAGCAAGAGCAGACAGGGAAGTCCAAAATGCCCAAAATATTATTAGTGGTGCCAGTAGTGTAGTAGTACATACACATTCACAATCACATACATGGGGCCTCGCCTGTGTTAGCAGAGTTAGGCAGGCAAGCAGCATTGCCTTTGGCACTCTCAAACTGAACTAATGCCCAAAATAATCTCAGTGGTGCCAGTAGAGTAGTAGTACACATTCACAATCACATAATACATGTGCCTGCACCTATATCAGCAGAATTAAGCAGACAAGAGGCTTAGCCTTTGGTATTCTCAAACTGAATTTAGTGCACACACAAAATGCCCAAATTAATCTCAGTGGTGGCCATAGTGTAGTAGTAGTAGTAGTAGTAGTAGTACACATTCATTCACAATATCACATACATCATGTGGCCTATGCCAGCAGAGTTAGGTAGGCAAACAGCATGGACTTTTTCCGTTCTCAAACTTAGTGCACACACAAAATGCCCAAAATAATCTTAGTGGATAAGAAGTACTGGCATACATACCGAGTATGTGCCTTGTGTGAGTAGAGTTACAAAGGCAAGCATGGGAAGCAAGTGGAGCTGGAGCAGAAGGCTTAGTCCTAAAGCACAAAGAGGGAGAGAAGAACACCATGAAACTCACTACAGCTGATTATTTGTTGACACACTACAGCAAATTGTGTATTTGCTTACCGTGATGAAGCCAAGAGAATGCTTCTCAGGAGTTTCAACAGGCAGACTGTATTTCTTGGGTAGCGGCAGTGGTGGCACCATGTTAAAGGAGGTGTCAGGCTCCGCCCAACGGGATCTCTAGTGGTCCACGGCACGGGGTTTCCCAGGACGCGGAGTCTAAGTCCCAGTCTGCCTTTTCACCAGGGCCCCTGATGGTGGGGATGGACTTGGTGCAAGACTGAAACCAGGTCGTGTCCCTGGGCACCCCCGGCGGCGGCAGAGGGGTCCCGCTGAGGGTATGTGCCCGGGTTGAGCCTGCTGTGAAGGGGACGACAGATCCCGATCCGAGCGGGATGGATGGGATGACAGATCCCGATCCGAGCGGGATGGATGGAATGACAGATCCCGATCCGAGCGGGATGGATGGGCAACTATCAGGAGTAGGCGAGGTCAGACTAGCCGGGTCGGTATTGTGCGGGCAGCGTGGTACAGGGGGAGTAAGCGGAGAATGGTCGGGGTCACAAGCCAGGTTCAGCAGGTAGCGGGCAGCATGGTACAGAGGGTCAGGCAGAGGGATGGTCTGGAACGAGCCGGGGTCAGAGCAGGAGAAGGTCAGCATAAACAGAACAGCCAGAGTTTGGCAACAAGGAAGCGTACTTACAGGACAGGAACAAGACCTTGCGGCAACTTGGAGATGCACAGGGCAGCTTTAAATAGAGCGCCCTGCTCTCCCATTGGTGCGGCCGCGATCGCTACTGCGCATGCGTGGCCGCTGCGATCGCCGAGGACTCTGCGCTCGCCGGCTGGGACGGAAAGGCGGTCTGCGCATGCGCGCGCCGCCGAGGACCCGGGATCCCTGACAGGAGGAGCTGGTGTGATTGGGAGTCCAGACTCTATGACCCAAGAAGGGCAAGGAAATTCAACCTATCAGTACAAAAACAAAAAAGGAAGGAAATAAGCAAACATGATAGCAGTCCCTGGGCCAGGCCCAACAGTAGCCACTATTATTTTTGCTTTTCTCTTTTACCCTCCTCCTGGCTGGCCAAGCAAACTGAACTTGGTGCACACACAAAATGCCCAAAATAATCTCAGTGGTGCCAGTAGTGTAGTAGCACATACACATTCACATTCACAATCACATACTGTGTCAGCAGAGTTAGGCAGGCAAGCGACGTGGCCTTTAGCACTTTCAAACTGAATTTAGTGCACACACAAAATGTCCAAAATAATCTCAGTGGTGGCCATAGTGTAGTAGTAGTAGTACACATTCATTCACAATATCACATACATCATGTAACATCATGTGGCCTGTTCCAGCCCAGCAGAGTTAGGCAGGCAAGTGGTATGGACTTTTTGCACTCTCAGACTGAACTTAGTGCACAAAGAAAATGCCAAAAATAATCTCAGTGGTGGTGGCAGTAGTGTAGGACACACATTCGCAATCACAAACATGTGGCTGTGGCCTGTGCAAGCAGACAGGTCACAGGCAAGCCTTAGGCATAAGCAGGTAGGCAAGCAGCATGGCTTTTTTGCACTTTCACACTGAACACACAAAAATGGGTTAACTGTGTGCTGGGAGTGTTTTACTAGGGGGTGGGAAATGTGTGCTTCACTTTAGCACACTGCTCTGGATGGCTCTGCTCAGCCATCCAGAGCAGTGTGCTCAAACTGACAGGGAAGAGGACTGTTAGTAAACAAAGCAGCCCTCCTCCCTGTTGGTGATCCTTGGCAATCACCGGGCGCCAGCAGGTAATCACCGGCCGGGACCCGGTGATTGACACCTGGGGCTACGATCAGTGGCGTGGGTAGGGCTCACGCGCGCTCCCTACCTGGAAATGCTAAATCTTGTATATACACATGATTTTGTGCACCCGTGCTATCCTATAGCAGTATTTCTGCTATAGGGTGGACGGTAAATGGTTAATTTTCATTGTCAGTCCTTGAAAACAAGAAATTGCAACGGATGGCTGAGTCTATATGTATTATATATATATATTATATATTATAGTATTATGTATATATCCAGTAAATGTACTTTCAAATAAACCTGTGCGGAAGCCAAGGTCTATATTGATATTAGTGAGGCCATAGGTAGCTCATATAGCATGGCAGAGCAGGTCAGTTGAAGGAGCAGGCCTGGTTCATTGTGGTTTAGTGTCTAATAGCGTGTCATGAGAAGGTAGTGCGACACAAGTAAACATTGCATGATGTGAACAATATACAGATCTTCCTTCCCACTCCTCCATGTAGGATACATATGGCACGTACTGTACATGCATCTGCGTTTCTGGGTATTTTCCAGCTGTCTTTAGAGAACTTTAAACAGGAAATTGATGCCACAGGGCAAATATTCATTCTCTCCAGTCTCTCTTACAAAACAAGTACAGATTTGCTGTGGCTAGACGGACTTCCTGCAGAATGCATCTGCTTATCCCGGCTTCACACCATCAGGAAACTCTAATAATCTGCTCTACATTAAACCTTTGCACCAGGCAGACAAAGAATGTCCTTTTCCATACAGTAGGTGAGGGATTCCTTTACAGAAACCAAAATGACTGGCTGACAGGGCAATCACTGCACAATCCTGCACACTCTAAAGTATGCAAAGACTCATCTGGATCCTAAGAATCCTGAGTCAACTGTGTTCCCTCACTCACTTTCTCATTCACTTACTTACTCATCAGTCAGTCACTCCACACCTGTTGTATCACGCACCCCATCATGCAGAATAATGTTCCTGGAATGCACAGGCCAATGTGAATGCACTTATCCACATAACACATTCCTTTCTTCTTTTAGCATATTGAGCAGAATTCTTGTTAACTTCTTATGTGCCAGACTGTATTTCATCCTTTCAGTAGTGGGCAAAAAAAAGTTTTCAACTGGACCTTTACACAAAGTTTAGGTTTGTTTTAACCACCTATTTTGACACTTCTCTCCTACATGTAAAAATCAGTATTGTCTTGTTAGAAAATGACTTCATATCCCCAAAAATTATATAATATATATATATATATATATATATATTTATTTACACTATATTGCCAAAAGTATTTGGACGCCTGCCTTTACACGCACATGAACTTTAATGGCATCCCAGTCTTAGTCCGTAGGGTTCAATATTGAGTTGGCCCACCCTTTGCAGCAATAACTCTTCTAGGAAGGCTGTCCAAAGGTTTAGGAGTCTGTCTATGGGAATGTTTGACCATTATTCCAGAAGCGCATTTGTGAGGTCAGGCACTGATGTCGGACGAGAAGGCCTGACTCGCAGTCTCCGCTCTAATTCATCCCAAAGGGTTTTATCGGGTCGAGGACAGGACTCTGTGCAGGCCAGTCAAGTTTCCTCCACTCCAAACTTGCTCATCCATGGCTTTATGGATCTTGCTTTGTGCACTGGTGCGCAGTCATATTGGAACAGGAAAGGGCCATCTCCAAACTGTTCCCACAAAGTTGGGAGCATGAAATTATCCAAAATGTCTTGGTATGCTGAAGCCTTCAGAGTTTCCTTCACCTGAACTAAGGGGCCAAGCCCAACCCCTGAAAAACAACCCCACACCATAATCCCCCCTCCACCAAACTTTACATAGTTAGTCTGGCTCAAAAAAAACAAAAGTCCATCCAGTTCAACCATTATAAAAAAAAGTTATAATCCTACACCCACAGTTGATCCAGAGGAAGGCAAAAAAACCCAGCAAAGCATGATCCAGTTTGCTCCTTCAGGGCAAAAAATTCCTTCCTGATCCCCGAGAAGCAATCAGATATTCCCTGGATCAATTTTACCTTTAAATGTTAGTATCCAGTTATATTCTGTGTATCCAAGAAATAATCCAGGCCTTTTTTAAAGCAATCCACTGAGCTGGCCAGAACCAACTCTTGAGGGAGTCTATTCCACATTTTCACAGCTCTTACTGTGAAGAAACCTTTCTGTGTTTGGAGATTAAATTTATTTTCCTGCAGATGTAAAAGTGCCCCCATGTCACGTACCTGATGGGAGACTGAAATGACTAGGTTGGCCTCACTTGTGTCACTAGCCCTGACCCCGCTGGAGTTGGAACAGAGGGAGTCTAGAGCCCAGGGGAACAAGAGTGCCAGTAGTTGTTGTTTGCAGCTCTTGCAGATGATAACCTTGGAAGACTCATGATCCTCTGATTTTGGCACAGTAGTAGTAGGCAGAGCAGGTTTTGTAGATTGCCAGGTGTGCACCAGAGCAAGGCAGGTAGTGAGGACAAGAGACAGGAGCAGTGTCATGGAATAGCCAGGGTCATCAACAGTCGGGCAGCACGGTACAGAATCAGAAGGAAATGCCAAGGTCAAGAGCAGAGCCGAAGTCAGAACCAGTATCAGGAGAGCAATCAGAGTCAGATGAGGAACAAGCTGGGTCAGCATAAAGGAATCACACAGGAACAAGCAGGACACGGGGGAGCTGAAGACCAGTCAGCACTGAACATGAGCAGAGGTACTCCTTAAATAGGCCGTCTGGCACCAATCTTCGCCGTGTGTGTGCACGTATGCGCGCGTGTACACGATCGCGCATTCCTGCGTGCATGTGCACAACCGGCAATTCTCCTGTGGGAATTCCTATGCGCATGCGCATTTCCGATCGCGATTCTTCTTGCCGGAAATCCCTTACACCCCATGTCCTCTGTGATGACCTCAGTGTGAATACCTCTACACCAAGTTTGCTATATCAACCACTGATGTATTTGTACATGTTGATCATATCCCCCCTTAAACTCCTCTCCTCAAGAGAATAAATTCAGTTCCTCTAATATTTCCTCATAGCTGAACTCCTACATGCCTCTTATCAGTTTGGTTGCCCTTCTCTGTACTTTCTCCAGTTCCCCAATGTTCTTTTTGTGAATTGGTGCCCAAAATTGAACTGCATATTCCAGATGAGGTTTTACTAATGATTTGTACAGGGGTAAAATGATATCTCTCTCTCTTTGGAGTCTATACCTCTTTTAATACAAGAGAAGATTTTTGCTCGCTTTAGAAACCGCAGCTTGGCATTGCATGCCATTATTAAGCTTGTGATCTACCAGAACTCCCAGATCCTTCTCCACCATTGATTCCCCCAGTTGTACCCCCCCCCAGTATGTATGATACATGCATATTCTTAGTCCCCAAGTGCATAACCTTACATTTATCAACATTAAACCTCATTTGCCACATAGTTGCCCAATTAAACAGTGTATTGAGGTTGGCTTGTATGTTGGAGACATCCTGTAAGGACGTTATTCTACTGCACAGCGTGATGTCATCTGCAAAGACTGAAATGGGATTTTTAATCCCAGACCCTATATCGTTTATAAATATATTAAAAGGTAAGGGTCCCAACACACTGAACCTTGGGGTACACCACTGACAACCCTAGACCATTCAGACTATGAATCATTAACCACTACTCTCTGATTATGATCTTTTAGGCAGCTTTCTATCCATTTACATACGGATCTTTCCAAGCCTGTAGACTTTACCTTACACATTAGCTGTGTGTGGGGAACTGTGTCAAATGCTTTTGCAAAATCTAAGAATACCACGTCCACCGCCACCCCTCTGTCCAAGGTTTTGCTCACCTCCTCAAAAAAAGAAATTAGATTTGTTTGTATGAATCCATGCTGTCTGTTGCTTAAAATATTTTTTTTCCAGCAAGAACTCATCTATGTTGTCTTTTATTAAATTCTCCAGTATCTTCCCAACTATAGAAGTTAAACTAACAGGTCTATAATTACTTGCTAAAGATTTTGACCTCTTTTTAATATTTTAAATATTGGCACCACATCGTCAGTCAGGCAAGTACCATTCTCCTGGCAACCGCCAAACCTAGACAAGTCCATTGGATTGCCAGACAGAGAAGTGTGATTCATCACTCTAGAGAACAAGTCCCCACTGCTCTAGAGTCCAGTGGCGGCGTTCTTTACACCACTGCATTTAATGCTTTGCATTGCACTCATTGATGTAAGACTTGAAGGCAACTGCTTGGCCATGGCCCATTCTATGAAGCGCATTACGCACTGCTGTTGTGCTAATCTGAAGGCTGCACAAAGTTTGGAGGTCTTTAGCTATTGACTCTGCAGACAGTTGACTTCTGCGCACTGTGCGCTGCAGCATGTGCTGACCCTGCTCTGTCATTTTACGGGGCCTAGCACTTTGTGTCTGAGTTACTGTTATTCCCAGTTGCTTCCACTCTGTTATAATACCACTAACAGCTGACCGTGGAATATTTAGTAGCAAGGAGATTTCACAGATGGACTTATTGCACAGGTGGCAATCACGGTACCAAGCTTGAATTCACTGAGCTTTTGTGTCTGGTGCAGAGTGCAATGATCTTCATAAACCTCTCACACAATCCCACCCAGTGATCCAAACACTCTCTGTATCCCTTACACTAACACTCCCACAACTCTCACTTTTTTTTTTTTTTTTTTTTTTTTTAGAAGGGTCCCACGGCGGTGCTTTGACAAAACCCCTGTGAACAAAAACAAGCGAACCATGAAATCACATCACTTCTGAAGAGAAAGGGCCTCTAACCCTGAACCTCCTGGGGCACAAAACTCCTGATAGAAGTAAGGTACACCATTGTCTACCTATGCTGAAGCCAGGTGAACCCTACTCCATAGGGACTAGCTGAAGCTGGTCCACCAAGCACTTTGTGAGGGGCTGTCCCAAAAAGAGACCCATCCAGATAGGAAAAGACAAAAAGACATGACGGCCATAGCCCCCCCCCCCCCATCAGGGCAAACGTGCACTCTCCATCTCTGTGAAAAAACACATGTGCAGTGTAAGTGCTTGTGACAGAAACATGACAAAAAAAAGCAAAAATCACCTCAAACAAAAGCAAATAAAATAAAAGTGACTGCTTAGCCTGTGATCAATGAACAGATCCCTTGCTGAATCAACACATAATGGAATGAATGACAATTTTATGACATCTGTGTCTGTTCAGTTTTTTTTTATCATAGTAGCTTTAAACACTATTTAGATCTATGGTCCACCAGATGTAAACAAGGCATGACCATTTACATATACCTGCCCACAGATCTACGTTCAGCTTCTGTTCAGATCGTACTAAAAAACTGACAGATGGATCTGATCAGAACACCTGCTTGAAAGATCCTGAGAGCTCATTTACTCAGCACCACCCCATCCACTGTGGATAGCTTTTCAGATGACGTTTGACAGGTGGCTGGGATGTTATATAGTGCTTGTTACGTATATCCCAGTGGTGTTAAAGCCCACACCCCTGTTCCCCAATCACCTGAATGGGTTGCATTCGGTAGTAATACTGCCCTCCAAATGCAACATGGAATAGACTTTTTGCCATGGCGTGTGTTCAACCCACTGTGTTGGATAAAGGAGAGCGGTGGTCAGTGGGCTCTAAAATTGTAATTCAACTGCCTATTTTTCTGATCTCCCCCCATCCTTTTCCATGGCTACTATGGTGAATAACCATATTTGTGCACTTGTAGCAACAGTTGACTTTTTAGGACAAGCTTTTGGGGGTTTTCCCATTTCTTCCAGGATTAAGCAGTACCCCCTTCTTCTAGGTCCAAGTAGTGCCCCCTTCTTCTAGGTTCAAGCAGTACACCCTCTATCTAGGTTCAAGCTGTACCCAGTACTGATATTGCATAGACCTAAAAGAAGGGAGTGGACCCTGAACACTTGCCTTTAAAATTTAACTATTATTGCAAATAAATAAAGGACACTGACAGGGCTCTATAGTTTCTCTTTAACCTGTGCAATGGTTATAATTTGTCCTTTAAAATTTAACTATTATTGCAAATAAATAAAGGACACTGACAGGGCTCTATAGTTTCTCTTTAACCTGTGCAATGGTTATAATTTGTCCTTTAAAATTTAACTATTATTGCAAATCAATAAAGGACACTGACAGGGCTCTATAGTTTCTCTTTAACCACCTGTGCAATGGTTATAATTTTTTCCTCCAGAAAAGTGTGATTTCCAAGATTTCAATTGATGGTTAATTTATTAGAATAGAATATTTTAGAAGAGGAAGTTTTCTGTCTCATATTAAAGATTAGACATATTCATGTGGAATTTTTGTCTGTACTTCCTTCACAGTCCTGGCAGGGTACAATTTTCCGTCAGGTGGAATTCCTGTTTCATATGAATGGGAACGTCTAATCATCCTTCCTGGGTCTGAACTCTTCTGGTCAGCATCCAGTTCCTTAAAAGCAGCTCTCATGAAGTCACACTGTGTTTGCGTGCAGTCTGCTTGGCTTGTAAACAACAAAAGGAGTCCTGTTTCTACTACTTGTGCCTTTATCTCCACCATGACTTATTACCCTGCAGTTACAAACAAGTCCATCTTTCGTGCTATAGAACGCAGCTTGATGAGCAGCCACTGTTATTTTTTTAATATATGGTTGGTAACTAAAAATTGTGCCTGGATGAGATCAGGTATTCGGAATGAACACTGGTCTGTGAAAAAATAAGTCCTTTAGTGTACCAGACACACACGATTTATAAACATTTGTACAGAAAAACATGGGGCCAATTAAAATATTTCTATAGCTCTGTAATTCAAAAAAAAAAAAAAAAAAAAGCCTTCCCATTTCAGTCCATAGCCAGCTATGATTAGCAGGTATGAGTCTGCAAAAATGTCCAAAATCCTGGCTATGACACAGAGAAGAATGTTTTTCTTTTCAACAAAAGTTACACTTTTAAGGAATCCTATCACCACCCCAAGGTCACATGAAAATAAGCAAAAATGGCAGCTGCTCCAATCAATTTATACATAGCTGTATAAATGTATAAAGTAAGGGCATATGGAAGGGCTTTTCACTTGTAAAGAATTCCCAGCCTATAAAAGAAGCGGAGATATACTTACCACTCCAATGGTGTAGGTATTAGGTTGGGTCTGGTGTAGATCTACATTTCCGAGGGAATAAATACCTGCACTTCCTACCGCTCACTGTCTTTCCTCTCACTGACTCATAAGTCTTATAGGACATACCCAAAAGTGTTGAATGCTTGCAGTGTTGGGGAGCACAAAAGCAACAGCATTTGATCATGTGGGGCTGCTGGAATGGCAAGTATATGGGCTTATTCACACAGGCATCTAAAATGCTGCGTTTAGATGTATACATTGTACAAGTTTTTTACGCATATAAAGGCAGCATTATAGTAATTAATGGGTCCATATACACAGCTCTGTGTACAAGCGAAAATGTGTGCTGCATTTATTATCACCCTTTTTTGAGATACTGAGCATGCACTAATTAAAATAACTGAGTAACGAATTGTGGAGGAGTGGCCAGTTTCCTCATAATTAGCAATGGAACTGTCTGGAAAGTGGTCATGATCTTTGTGGGACCACCTAGAAATTGTGCATTTTAACCATTTCCCTATTGACAGATGGGAAGTTTTGATGCACCCCGAACTCGGTGATCGGTATGTCACCCAGACACAGCATATCACATTACTGCTGTGTCCAGGCGATCACATGGTGTTTTACCATGTGATTTCTGTGGCCAATCACAGCAATCATATAGTAAACACTGAAAATAAGCATCTGTTCTCTCTGCTCTCACAGTGAAGAAGTGATGCAGCAGCCTGTGAGTGTACAGCGGCCTGTCAGGCTGCTTGTACACTCACATACTGCAGTGCCAGCCACCCCACTGTCCTTTATTACTGCCCCAATGTCCCTGATCACTGCCCATTGTAGTCCATAATAAACATGAAGCCAGCCCCTGTCACCTGGCCCAGTGCTCACAAAAACATGGCCATACACCATACCAATGTCCTGATCACCACCATACCAACGTCCTAATCACTGCCATAGGCCATACCAGTGTCCTGATCACCGCTATAATACCCCATACCATCCCCCTGATCACCTCCATACCCCATACCAGCACCCTAATCACAGCCATACCCTCTACCAGCATCCTGACCACCACCATAACCTCATACCACTGCCCTGATCACCTCCATACCCCATTCGAGTATCCTGATCACCGCCATACCCCATACCAGCATCCTGATCACTGCCATACACCATACCAGTGCCCTGATCACTGCCATACCCCATACCAGTGCTCTGATCACCACCATACCCCTTACACATATCCTAATCACCCCATACGCCATACCAGAATCCTGATCACCGCCATGCCCCATACCAGTATCCAAATCACCATATATGCCATACCAGCATCCTGATCACTGCTATACCCCATATCAGTGTTCTGATCACCACAATATCCCATACCAGCATCCTGATCACTGCCATACCAGCGTCCTAATCACCCAATACCAGTGTCCTGATCACAGCCATACCAGCATCCTGATCACCGCTATATGCCTTACCAGCATCCTGATCACTGCTATAAAAACCCCATACCATTGCCCTGATCACCTCCATACCAGTGCCCTGATCACTGCCATACCCTCTACCAGCATCCTGACCACCGCCATACCCCATACCAGTGCCCTGATCACTGCCATACCCCATACAAAATTTAAGCAAAAAATGATTTTTTCCCCAAATTAAGTATTTTTTCATTTATATGGCAAAAAATAAAAAACTCAGTGGTGATCAAATACCACCAAAAAAAGCTCTGTCTAAAAAAATTATAAAATTATCATATGGGTACAGAGTTGCATGACTGAGCAACTGTTACTCAAAGCGTGATATTGTTGAGAGCAGAAAATTGGCTTGGATTGGAAGGGGGAGTCTGGACCTGAAATGGTTAAAGTACAATAAAAGCCAAAACCACTGGAGAGACTTCCCTTCAGTTTCTGCCCCATAGTGACAACAGGAAGTGAGAGAAAATCCCTAGTTGTCACCAGGGTCACCAGAACTGGTATACCTGTTGGAAGATTTTCCACTCATGTTCTGGTGACAACTCAAAATTTGGAATTTTCTTTAATTTCCATTCTCAGCAGTAATGGTCAACAGGACAAAAGGAGAGGGCACAGACAGCAATAAAACGCCTGTCAGTTGTTTTAATCCTTCTCCACACTATCCACTACTTAAAAAAACATTTTTCCTTTAGTTATACTCTAAGTGTGGGCTGAGGGGAGGGGGGTAGTGTGACATTGTCCTGGGGACTGGGAAGAACATGTGGTCATGAACTTCCTGCAGTCACAGCTGACCAGCTCACATGAATAATGATTGAATATGTTAGAAAACATTTGCTATTTTTTCCTTATGATATGGTTAGATCCATATATATCTGGACACAGGCACAATTTTCATAGTTTTGGCTCTGTATGCTACCAGAATAAATTAA